CCACCACCACCATCATCATCAGCCGCCACATTGTGCGTTTTCCTCCTTTTCCGCTTATTTTTATTTTTTTTATTTTTTCTCTTATAAAAAAACCTCAAAAGCGGCGACCAAGAAGCGGAGCACCAGAGCTTCTCGTTAAAGCGGCAAAAGTAGCAACTTGAAAAAATAAAGTAAAATAAAAAAAAGGTCATCGGAGAAGAGTTGTTTCTTTTGCACGAGATAAAAATATTTTTTAATGTTTTCTGAACACAGAAAATAATTTAAGGAATGTCACGTTGTAGCGCTCTCTTACTCTGCCGCTGTGCGTTCCTTGTATGCATTGAGCATTCGTTTTGGTTCCCAGGTCGCTGCTTCTGGCCCGGCTTCTGGCCCTGTCCCGGTTCCCGTTCCCATCTCGTCATTTGGTATGAGAGAAAAAAAGGAAGAATTTCTTGCATACAAACAAAAAAATGTTTGATTGAAATTTGACCAAAAAGACGTTGGGTGAAACTCTTATTTGGTATAATTCCTTACCTTCTTCAAGGCATAAATACTTTGGAAATGATTCATTGAAAGAACTCTTTTATTTTACTAGAAACTATAGCTAGATCTTTTATTTACTAAAAAACTATATATGTAGTTCTATACAAACTATATCAAACCTTGAACTATCATCATACAAGATCTCTTTTATTTAGTACAAAGTATATAGCTATATACAAAATATACCCCAGATATAACTCTGATCAGGAAAGTTGCATAAAAAATTTTCAAATAAAAGCTTCTTCAAGTTAAAAAAAAAGTGTTTCTTAACAAGAGAGTCTTGTATTCGGGAGTCTAGACTATGAAATACCCGGTTCTCTGCTGTATTTCCCAATGGAATCTACAAGTCAGATGATCATCAGCATCAAAATGTTTCATATATTTATATATATCCAACACTTTCGTTCGCGTTGGTCTCTGAGCTGTCTGCACAATATTGAAGAGGATCGAAATGATTAAGGTATAGAAAACTAAAGGGAAGCTGTTATTATTGCAATAAGTACTCTTACTGTTACAAGAGCATAGATATATTGTAGGTTTTGGTTAATGTTAGCAAAGAACAAATAATTTGTTGGATTTTTTGGAAAGATTTTAAATGTTTTCCTAATTTTTAAATAATATATTGAATATAAAGATTTAATTTAGAATCCTTTATTTCATACTTTAGAATGAAGTTTGTATTGATTTCTAATATATAGCCTTTTTTGTGCCATTCTCCCTGTTCCAAAAACCAATATGTTTATATATTTTATATATATTCTGATCTGTCTGTCTATAAGTTGTTTAAAACACCTGGAATCGCGGGTAACTACAAAGGCTTATGCCCTGGAACTTGGATTTGTGCATGAACCCCACACAGAACAAGTGCATTTCAAGGAATTTCCAGCGAACATGTAGTAAGTGGCTGCTATCTACACAGAGAGAAAATATTCCTAAAAGGGAAAGGAAGAGCTGGGAATTTTAATATATATTTGTTTTACTCCATATATGTATATATAGAGAAGAGTTTGTTTTAGCCCCTCAAGTAGTGTGTTAGCTAGAACTATGTGACTAATATTACACACTTAAGATATTCCTACTATACGTCATAGTTTACAAAAGGTATATGAAATGTTTTCTTTTGTGCTGCAACAAATTAAAAAACGCTTACCGCAACATAGAGATATGACAAAGCTTAAACAAAAGCCAAATAATTTAATAAGTAAGTTCTTTGCGGAAGACGCTCCCAAATGGTCGGCAAAAACATCAACATGGGGTTGGAAATAAGGACCGACGATGTGAAGCAGCAGACAGGCGGTAGGGAGAATGGACACTGGGGACGGAGACAGGGGACCAGGAACCAGGGACCAGGGAAGTGGGACCTGGGACCCGGGACTCGGGACTCGGGACCCGGGAACTGGGAACCAAAGACTGGGAACAAACAGAGGGGGGTTTTTACCGGGGATCGAACAGGAGGGCTCTGCCTCTTAGTATGCTCTTTCAGGCCCTGGTGCGGCAAAAATAGCCAAAGCCAACATGGCGGATGTTGCATGGAATTTATTTTTACGTTGAACTAAAGAATTTGTTGAATTTCTGAACGTTGAAAAATGTTAAAAGCGACAAAACAAAGAATGCACTGGTGTATATCTGTGTCTGAATATTTTTAAGTCACTCACAAGCAAAATAAAAAGAGTCTCTGTGTTTTCTGAAAGGGCACACCACAGAGTCCCCAGGATAGACCAATAACTAAAGACAGTACCTTTAACTATAGCTTATGGCCAGAATGAGAATGAAAGTTGGCTTTAAGGAAGTGCAATATATAGATATGTTTATCTACATGTTTTTTCGTCCGTTTCATATAATGGCATTGTATCTGTATAAGCCAAAAGGATTTATTTAGATAGTGTATAGGCAGAAGACCCTTTCCCTATTTTTCAGGCAGTGATAAAGCTTAGAAATAAACGGAATTTGCTTATTTTTTAAACAAGAAGTATACAAATTTATTAAAACTTTGTCATTTGAAACCACAAACCTATTATCTCTTGTAACTTATATCCCAAAGGTATAATGTTATGATTATTATTTTAATATGGAAAATAATATTATTAAATTGAATATTAATGGTAAATTTATTCACAAATTTATAGACTGTATATAATATGTAATAATACATATGATAGCTTCTTGTTTTTGGGTTAAAGATTGAAAAGTCTACATATAAAAAAACATATATCATTTACTACAAAAAATTAATAAGGTATAGAACAAATTAATGAAAACAATCAAGTCATATTCATTTAATGGGATTTTCCATTCTTAATACTTGTTATATATCTAAATAAGGTTTTAGAAACGTGCTTAAATGTGCACCCGAATCACGACAAAGGAAAAACCTACCAGTTAACTTTGATAATTCGAAGTTTTGACACTCTTTCTAGGTTTTTTCTTTTCTTTAATAAATTAATAATAAGATTAATCCAATTAAAACTAATTAAATGAAGTATTAATTAAAAGTACGAACTTTTAAAGGATATTATTAATCTGGGCAAACGAAATTGCAATCGGAATTAACCCATTCCGATCGGTATCAATTGCTAATTCAATGTAGACTACAAACAAACAGCTTCATTATATCGGAAACTATTAAAGCTAGATCCAATAAAAGCTTTGGAGCTCAGAACACCTGTTATATAAGATCCAGACAATTAAAAGAAAACATAATTGAATGGCTCCCCCAGAAAGAAGAGATACAAGTGTTTACTTTCTTGAAAGAGGATCATTTGTTAAAATAAATGCAATTTCCATATGCTGTCTGTTAAAGACGATCCAAAACCGATTAATAGCGGACCGGAAATAAATCTCCAATCGCTTGGCAATATGTATATTTTATTTGTGTAATCCCGAGACCGATCTCTGACACTTTCCCCCGACTTTTCCGATATTATAGCGCTTATATTGAGTATTGATTATTTATACCCTTTCAGGGTATTCTAATTTCAGTTAGAAGCTTATAACTAATTGAAGGAATCATTTCCGACCCTATAAATCATATATATTCTTGATCAGAATGAACAGCTGAATCGATCTGGCCACCTTTGAGAGAAAAAAAATTTACCAATTTTTTCAATATTTTTTAAGGGGTACATTGTTAAAGTTTGATAAAAAATTTGATAAAAATTTAAATTTTTTAAAAACTTTAATTGAGTACGCAGATTTATTAACATGTTAAAAACTAACATAGGACAGCTTTCCGAATTAAATTTAATGCATTTTTGGCTTAGTTATGAGGTTTTTAAACTTTTATTTGTCGATAAAATTTTCATATAAAAATATTGATTGAAAGAATGTGAATATTTTAAGCTTTGTTATGATCGATTTCTGATTCGATCTTATATAAGGTTCTGTTGTACATTATTCACCTGTAATTTGGTATTAATTTTGATCAAGAAAAAAAGATGGAAAGTCAAGCAATAAGAGTTAAAGATTTGACTGTATTTCTAAGATACAGGTATTTAAATGGACAGCTGGGATTAAGACATAACTAAGTGAGATCAAGACTATAAATATGTATATTTATATATATCCCTTTGTCACATACCACTGCAATAAATCTGGTATATAATTTTAGTATTGTTCGTGTAGACTGTGGGCTCTATATATTGCCCCGATCTTCACGTGCGTGCTGTTTTATGCATTCCAGCAAGTAATAGATTCGTTAATTTTGACGACTGAAAATGTTCAATATATATAGTATATATGCAGGTGTCCCTAAGTTTTGACTAGAAATAATGTCAAATTAAAAATAAACAAGAAACTAAGCTTACTTAAAGCAGTCAAAAGCTATATACCCTTTGAAATTAATCATAACTAGCACAAAAATCAATTAGTTTAATTTTATAAATATAGATCGACTCATCTGTTGACTCTAAATCAATAATATATATGATTTATAGGGTCAAAAATTACTCATTCACTGAATGACAACTCCTAAAATAAATTTCAAAGCCATTTAAGGGTATACAAAGTTAAGATCGTTTGATTGATTATATATACCCACATAAATCGATCAAAAATGAGAAGATATGACAATAGTTTAAAACAAAAATATACCGATTTAAACTTATAGCTGCAATATTTATAATCCCTAAACTTTTATCTATATCTGACATTCATATAGACATGGTTTCACCGTCTCGGTTTTTGGTTCTGATCAGGAAATATATATGTATATAGATATGGTATGGGGAAACGCTTCTTTCCTTTTTGCCTAACGAGTTGCCCACGGCAATGCTTCAGTTATTTAAGAATCGCAATAATTGCAATTTGTTCATCAATTTGAATGCAATTGCCTTCACTTCATGCGGAATCAAAGACTATATCACAAAAATAATAATAATTTTTAATAGTGTTTTTGTACCTATGAAGCACATATGGTATTACGAGACGGCGTGATAAATTGCCGGCGGAAAATGTGAAAATGAGTAAAAATTAAAACTTACTTTTGTATAGAAATTTGGAGTAATCACAATCCATAATGACCTTGCGGTTGGTTTGATTTATCGAGAAGCTCCAGGATGATTCCACTATTGATCCCTGTTCCTCTGGTCTCCTTCTTCACCTTTCCTCCCACGAACATGTGGAACAATTGGTGGTGTGGTGGGTATAGATTCGCTGACCTTGAGGCGATTAATTGAATCGTCGTCACCTTATCGACTTGGAAGTTGGCCAAAAAGGATGAGATGATGAGATAAAACGTGGCAGCGGCGGCGGCGGCAACTTGAGGATCTTTCATTGGGCCATAGCGATTGTCCTTTGGCTTTCGATTGTTGTCTCACTCTCTATTTACACGAATCTACGTCGAATTTAATTTGAATTTATTTCGTTTTTATTCTTTATTATACTTTATTTTTCCCCCTTTCTTGTGTTTGTGTTTCTGCTTAGGTGTTTCTTGTCGACTCTTGCCTCGACGGTTGCATCGAGCGAATGTTGCTAGCGATGCTTATTATTATTATTGATGCGCGGCGGGTTGTCATTGCTGCAATTAAATACCACTTTCGGTTTAAGTTTTAACATGTTTTTTTGTGTTGTAGCTTTCTGTTTATTTTGGCGTTTTTTGCGACCTCTTCATATTTTTTGTTTATTTTTTATTTACACAGTAGTAAGTGGGCGGTAACACGAAGTCAGCAGTCAGCATCTTGGCATCAGCTGCGCGTTGCTTGTGGCGCTGCCATTCTTATAATTTCACAACATGCTCACTCCCAGAGATCTATTGATATGACAGGAAATTGGTATATATGTATGTATAAGTAACCGTACATTTTGGCCGTGTATTATGTAGTTTTTAGTTTTATTTAGTTTTATGGCACACATAAACACACACACACATAACCGTTTTCTTTTCCGCCGCTATCTTATCTCGCGCTGTGGATGCTTAATGGATTTGCATTGGAAATTTTTGGAGAATTAGCATTAGCATTTGATTATTTTTGGAGACTATAATAATCCACAAAGAGGCCGGTTTTTTTTTTCTTTTCTATTTCCTTCTATTTTTGTTGTGTTTTATGTATTAAGTTAACTTCGGGTTTTGGGCTTTTGGTTGGCGTGGTGTTTTAGCAGCTTTGGCAGCTGGCGGGGCGGGCTATATGGCTTATAGCTGGAAATGGAAAATGTGGAAATGGAAATTGGGTGCAACAGTTGTGCAGCTGCTGTTGGCGCAACAGAATCTCCACGGTGACTCATAAGACGGTCAAAATAAATACACTTGAAAAAATGTGCAAAAAAAATACAAGTAATGCCCAAAACCCATATGCAATATGCAATAACAATAACAGCGCGAAACGGTACACTACACGGCACACACATACGCACTTACACACACACACATACACACACGCACGAAAGAACATACGCACACATACAGGCAGCGCGGCAATGTGTAATATATAAATATATATATATAATTTTCTTTTCCAAGGTCTGTTTTGGATCCGGTTGCAGCTTTTGAGCGGAGCAAATTTAACTAATTTTAACCTTTCTGCTGGCCCCACAGAATACACAGAGAATATACTCCCTAGGACCGTTTGCCGCGATGCCGGCGGTGGCGATTTTTTGTTGCTGTATTTTTGCAGTTTTACTTGACACTTTTCGTTTACACACACGATAAAAAGATAGCCGACGTTAACGAATTGTTATTGCATGTTAACCGTTACTACTGTTACTCGGGCTAAGGGAATGGCAAAAGGGGTTTCGGTTTCGGTTTCGGATTCGAAAATCGAATTGTTCTAGTATATGCGCGGCAGGGGGCCTATGTTTCGTTTGATGTGTATTTAATTTTCTTATTCGGTTGCTTTTTTTTGCTTTATACGTGCTGAACTGAACACTAGGCTCTCGCTTGCGAAATGACGGCAACAAACGAACGGCATAAACAAAACTACCAATAAGAAATTAGCTCAAAAGTATTTCAGGCAAAAATTAAAACAGTAAAAGCGCTCATTGAGCACACGACGACGAGGCAGCAGCCGAACATGGCCCAGCTACCATGCCGAGCAGAGCAACAACAACAAAAACCACTTGGCGGAGCGACGATAAACGAGTGAGAAAAGCAAGCGAGGGAGCATTTGAGAGTGTATGAGTGTAAAACGAGAGGCACGCCGCGGCGGCAGAGCAAAGTTGTAGTTGTAAGCACAAAATCGAAAGGGGGTACAAAAGACTCTTGCAGCGTCAACAGATTGTTGGATTGGATGCGCGAGTTGCCAGTGATGCCGCAACAGCTAGGGCAGCGAACAGGTAATATGGCACCACACCCTAAGTCATATTACTAACTGCTAAAGTTTAAATAAAATATAATTATCGTTCTAATATTTATTACTAAAAAGCTATCAATATTTTTTAGCCAAATCAAATGTGTACATATTTTGAAATTAAAAATCTGCTGTAAATCCAACATTCGAAATGGACAAGGAACGTGTAAAATTGCACCATATTCTACCCCATATCACTTAATGCTATTGTTTAAATAAAATGTATTTAATTATCTAATATTTATAAAATTTTTAATGCAAACTAAAAAATGACAATATTTTTAGCTGAGAAAAAGTAGGTTGTGTGGTATATGCACATCAAACGAAGTTCTGTCAAATTAAATATGTATGTTTTTTTAAATTATAAATGTGGCGTGTTTTTTAGCTGAAGAAAGTAGGCTGTGTGGTAATTGCAAATCCAAGTACATTTTGTCAAATTAAACATGTACATAATTTAAAATTCAAAATCTGCTGTAAATCGAATACCCAAAATGGAAAATAAAGTTAATAGGAAGGTACCAACAGTTACTAGGGCTGAAGAATTAAAAATGAAGCAATACAAGGCGAGAATGTTAGAATTGCTAAAACGTATGGATCGCCTGGAGGATATGTTGAAAATGATGAAAACCATAAAGCCCAAAACAATAAAATTAGAAGAATCTGCGAAGAGAGATCAAAATTAATTAATTTTGATATAATACAAACTTTAAATATAAAAATACTGTTTCGCATTATGACTAGTAGTTGTATTATTTTTATCGTAAGCTGTAATAGTTTTAAATGCAGAACTTTAATCTTAGCCAAAGGGGTTTTCAGAAGAAAAAGCCAAAAAGCTAAAACTGACAACACTATCGACATGCGGCAGAATCAATAACACCGTGCAAAAGCAGAAAACTGCTCCTAAATTGTGAGTATATGGCGGAAGACAGACGCGAGAGCGAGACAATGAGTGAGAGGAGTGCGCGACAGAGAGGACAGAGTAGTAGTAGGCGAAAAGAGAGATGGTCAAAGAGAGAGAGGGAGAGAATGAGAGAGAGAGGGAGCAGAGCAGCGCGCAAATGCGAGAGAGTGGTAGTGGCTGCTTGAGTGACAGTGCTGACGATTTTTATTTTTCATAATTAAACTATTTATTGTAAGAGAATAATTAAGAAATTCTTAAAAATGGAGATTCTGAATTAATATTAAAAATGCAGGAAATTTTGCAGCTTCATTAAAAGTTATTATTCTGAAAACGTTCAGTTTATAGTTTTCCAAGTTGCCAGCGCTGATTTGAGTGAGTGTTTACAGCGCATGAATCAGCTTCCGCTGTTTTGACTGGAGTTGGTGTTGCTGCCCCATGCACCATGAGGTCTGCTCGAACATGTGCTGAATCGACTCGAATAAATTTGAGTTTAATTTGCTGTGGCACAAGGGCGTAGTCCAAAAGGGGTCGCCAAAAATAGGCTTTAAAGTATGAACTGCATTGTTATTAATTTAAACATATAATATGTATATAACTACCACAAAAATAAATAATTTTATGTTATTATTTGTTGTGTTTATAAGTGTATCTTTTTGATAAGATTAATTGAGATAATAAGGCTGACGACATATTTTGCTCCTGCTCGCAAGCAGTTTACTGCACAGATATTAGTCGGTAAAGCAGCTCCTGCCAATGGGCTGGGTAATGATCTATTATGCAGTTGCACCTGAAGGAAATAATATTTAACCAATAAATATATAATTTAACTAATTAACAGTCAGTCACTTTGACCACCCCCGCTACCATGAAATTGTTTTGGACTTGTAAAACGCAGTTATCAAGCGATGACTCTTTTTTGCACACAATTACGTGTCATTGGAACATATAGCCCGAAAAACTAGACAGACTTCTGACCCTGCACAACTTGGGCTTACAGTGACGGTCAATATAAAAGCCCAAACTAAATGTCAGTGATTTTAATTATATAGTTTATGCCTATTTTTACTATTGTTTTTTTTTGTTGAGAATTATTATTTTATTACTGGTAAATTTAAATCTAGACATTAGCTTGAAGAAGATAGATTTGTTTTTTGTTAGTTACTTAGCTTTGACTCATAGAAAAAATGTTTTTATAATATTGAAATAAAAAAGTTACTAAAAACCACTAAATAAATGTTTTTAAGGCCATTAAATTGTACACAAATTTCTCTCTACTATAATAAGAATCAAAGAATAAAAAATATATAATATAATAGTAAATAAAAAAATGCATTATTATGGAATTAGATAATAAATGGTATGTGATAATAATATACAATATTTAAAAAACTATTAACATGACCGCTACTGTAGGTATTGCCGATGCAATGTACAACGGAAGCGCTACTGTCTTTTAAGCAATCAACAGATTCATCGACCATCTCCTCCTCCTCCTCCTCGCCTCTCCTAGCTCCAAGCTCATCATCATCCGCTCTCCCAAAAGAGAACTCTTTCTCGTAAATAAATCTGTTTGTGAATTTCACATTTTAATTTTCTGTTTACATGTTTATTTTATAATTGAACTGATACAGGATTATTAATGGTCCCTCTATAGCAGGCACCTTGGTCAAGGTTCTACGCTGAATAATTAGAAACAATAAAAAAATGGTTTATTTGTTATATATTACATTAAATAATATTTATGTGTATGTATAAAATGAAATATGGATAACATTTGTGTTTCCAAGTCCCGGTTTGTCCATCTGATAATTGATATTATTGATATTTGATAATTAAAACTCAAAGAAAACTAATTTTGACATCATTTAATGCTTAGATTCGGTGGCCGAAACTAAAATATACCCTTGTAGATTTGTTTTTGTTACTTTTTAAGAAACCTTTAAGTAAGAAATTTATAAAAATATATATTAATATGGAATAAGATTTGTAATTTATAGAAAAATGGCTTCAGTAACCAAGATAGAAAGATTTGGAATGCTCTAAGATACAGGGGTTCCCATAAATCTGGAAATGGGAATATATTTTATATATTTTCGTTTAAAATTCTGTTAAGTGTTTCATTGCATTTAAATTTAAACAATTTTAAAGATATATTTGAAGTATTCATCGTTATTCTATATAACAGAAAGAGACTTCTGGAAAACTCCCTACGATCAATTAGAAATATATACAAATTTCTTAATCAAAGGAAATCTTCTTTAGAAATAAGACATATATAAATTATATCTCCTACAAGGATATATACAAATATTTATGCTGATGATTCAGCTTTTGGAGTCCCTGAGATACAGGTGTTTTTAACGGACTGAAATTTTTGGATGGACACAAGGATATGATCTAGATACATACATTTTTTTGTTTGGTTTTTTTTTTTTTTAATTTCTTCGGTGTAAATGTTGCTTTTTTTGTTTCAGACTATAAAAGCTCAATTTTTTAATAAACAACTCTTTCCGATATATATATTTAGATATATATATAAATGTGTGTGTATATATATGAATAAAAAAAAGCCTTGTAAATACATCAACCAAAGTATGTTGTAACAAAATGGAATATTAAGCCGATAATTGAAAGCATTGACTTAAGGCTACAGTATCTGTCCAATACTTGAGTAAATATATATACTACTTATATATAGATAGCTATCATTCCAGAATATAAAATAACCAATAGCCCAGGTTGAACGCAAGGAAACTGATCGGAAATATCATTCGTGAGTATTTGTCAATAATATTGACATCTTTGATCTTCGGTATAGTTGCTTTAATGGCAGAGGCACCCTTTTTTAATGCATGCATCATGCGGGGCCGGGTGGATATTCCTGCAATAATATATCATTACTCTATTAATTTCAAGTTAAGTTAAGTTAAGTTTATAAAAACTTACCCCTTTGTGTACGATGCCTGAGCTGGCTGCGTCCGGTGCCATAGTTACGAGTTATACGAAAACTAGGCGGAAACTTGCCTAAATTCATGGTTTCGGTACCGATAGAATCGAGGGTCGCATTATAGTTACCTTTTCGTAACGAAGGTATAGGGCTCATGCGAACATCCTGCAGCTCGATAATATCTTCTGTCGTTGAACACGTTTCGGATCTTTCACTTTTGCCTAATTTGTATAGAAAGGGAGTTGTAAAATCTAGGATTTGGTTTATATACCAGAATATGGATTTATAACATCTATATCATCGAGTTATATATCGACTTTCTTGTAATATCCCTACATCTTACCCATCTTCCGACGATCACAGTCCTTGAGCTTTTTAATTTTCTTCTTGGCCCGCTTGCCCCAATAGGTGTAATTGACAGCAGCGTATTCGAGAAGGGCGGCAAAGACGAAGACGAAGCACATGACCAGGTAGATATCGATTGCCTTTACATACGATATGCGAGGCAGTGAACTCCGTACACCTGTACTGATCGTGGTCATGGTGAGGACAGTGGTGATGCCCAAGGCTACACGGGCACTGGTCGCTTCATGGTTAATCCAGAACGAGACCCAGGATAACATAACAATGAGAATGCTGGGCAGATACGTCTGGAACACAAAGTAACCAATATTCCGCTGCAATTTAAATGAGAGCGAAAGCCTCTGGTAGACACCAGTGGCCAGTCGCTCCTTCCGATCGTTTGTCTCATATCCAATTATGGTGAACTGTGGCAGCTCGGCATC